TACACTAAGACGGAGGGAGTAGAAGTTTAGAAGATTTAAAATCGCTTACAAGTGGATTGATTTGCATAGAGTTTTTCTTCTTTTAAAAACTCCGGTGAAAACTTCCGGCAACAACCATTGGGAAAGAATGGTGATGAAAAGTGGATGCTAGAGGTCTCCTTAAATAGCCATGAGGAAAGAGAAGAGCCATGTGAATTTCTAGATATTTTGGTGAGATCGTCGATCGGCTAGGACGACTAGTGGGGGTGGTGGTTCAATTTTTTAATTCTTCCACTGAATATGATTAATTCTATCCCAGTTATTAGGGTATAGTTTTTGGAATCAACTTTCTCCAAATTGATTGCACCATTGCGATCATTCAGTTGATCAAATTCTACTGAACAATATAATTCTCACGTTTATTTGAAATACTTTTACTAGAACCATTTTTTTGGGTGTTTAACTTTGACACAGTCAAAATTGATTTAATTGAAATATATTTAAAAATATTCTCATATTCACTTAATATTATTCAATATAATATCTTTTTTCCAACAAATTATTTTTCATGAGTTCACATTATTAATCACTTCTTGATTTTATGTAAGTTACATATTTTAATATTTAAAAATGTCATAACTGCGAGAAATTCAATAAATTAACCGAGAATAATTCGGGTCCTCTCACAAGGATTGGCAAATGGAAGTATTTTTTTATTAACTTGATATTTTAATTTAACCGAGTAATTAATCTTGAACTAGAAAAACTTAGAGCAATCAAGATTCAAGCAGAATGATAGTAATAACGGAATTAATTCAATCAATGATTGAGAAACAGGTATGCACCGAACATGTATATGAACTAAGGTAATAATCTATATTAAATTAACTTCTTGATTAATTAGATTTTAGTTATTAACTTATCCTATTTCTAGGCCTCACCAATGTGTCTAAATATGGTCGGCTAGATTATTTGTCTTAACTCATATACAAGCCACACTAATAATCTCCAAGGATTAATTAATAAATTGGCCAGATCTATTAATTACTTAATCTCATTTTAGACAAATAATCCAATTAACCAAGTAACTAACTTAATTTTAATTAATTATATTAGCCTAGAACCTTAATTCAATTCGTGCCTTAATATAAATTTAGCTACAGAAAGCCATAATAGCACACAATATGAAACAAACTATAAATGATACTTTTATTGATAAAAGAAAAGTGTACAAAAAATCTTACAGATCTTGAGGAATTGAACACAAATTTGACGAATCTTTAAACCATTACTCTAATACTCTAAGACGGGAATCTCGAAGACGGGAATCACTTCATGACCTATCCATAAAACTTAGTTTTAGCTAATTTCTTGATTTTTGGTCAAATATAAAAATAATACATCATTGGATCAAAATATAAATTCAAAAATACCTTTATCATATAATAAACCTCAGGCTATGTTTTGAGGCGTTACATTTCTTTCCCCCTTAAAGAAATTTCGTCCCGAAATTTCCGAAGGTAGAAATTTATTTAAATAATAATTCACAAATAATAAGTGATTTATAAAGTTTGTCAATTAATTTTAAAAATTATACTGTTGTGTAGAGCTTGACTGTCTGAACGAAACAGTACAATCATATTTCAATTTGAAGAAAGTTGGAAAAAAGTATACCCCAATTCAAACCATTTTAGTCCCAATCAGGGAAGAGTCGTATATAACTCTTTAGAATCGCACTATGGCCGCCGAATGAGGGTCAACTGTGACACAATGCTTTGGCTTCATTGTCCACCTTCACGTACATAAGGGAGCCTCATTCTCCCTCATTCTTGCACCACTCTTTCTCCTTCTTCTTCTATTATGTTCCTGAGTGTGGGGAGAGTAAGCTGCGCGCTGTAGCTTGCTGCCACCAGAATCACCGGAGGAAGCCGTGTTTGCTAGAAGTTTCGCTGCAAAATCTCCATTTTTGTCGTTTAAGCTTGAGGTGAGCCCCTAAATATATTTAGTGACTAGAATGTGCATATAGATCGTTTCTATGTTCATAAACGATCATTTGGTTGAGTTATGTGTTAGAAAAGCTCAAAATATGTTTTTGATGAACCAAGAATCATAAACCTTCTAATTGTTTGTTAAAGCTTCGAATTAATTATTTAAAAATGGTTTATGATGTTGGAGAATAATTTTATATAGTTAAAATGAAGTTTAGTAACTTAAAATGGTATTTACGAAGTTTGAACCGAGGTTGAAGATGAAGTATTGTGCAAAAATTGTTTACTAGTCCGCTCTAGCGGAAACGGTCAACCGTCGCATGGAACGGTTGACCGTCTCACGACAAGTATGATGTATCATGAATGGTCGACGATCACACGCTAATGGTCGATCATTGCATGACTAGTACTACAATGACGATAACGGGTGACCGTCGCACTGTAACAGTCGACCGTGGCTATTTTGCGCTGGAAAATCAGATTTTTGAAATTGTAAAATCTTATTTTGCTACTTTTCAGCTATAAATCATTACTAATATCATTTTCAAGATAAATTAGAAATTTTGATCAATTCCAATACCTTATTTGATGCATGACTGTAAGATAGTATGTTAACACTTGATGCTAGGCTACTACTTGTTATTTAAATATTATGATGATGATTATATTGGTTATGATGATTGAACTTTTATCAAATATTAATATAATAAATATCCTAATTTAATTGCGATTGTAAATAATTAAGGGTATCTAGAATAACAATTAGATATATACCTCACATGACGAATTTAGTTAGGCCTTGTAGATGTGATGTCTGGTGGTTTGGGTTAGACTATACGTACAAGATCTAGAAACCAAACTTGAGGATCACTTGTTTCGGGATAGCACCCAACCTGACGGTGAGCAGACCACTGTTCGGTTGTTGAGCATGACCTATAAGACCCATAGAATAGATCATGATTCTAGTTTTCTACCTTAAACTAATTATAGTGTAAGAGCCACGTTATCAATATAAATTAGCTTTAGACTAATAATAGTTTAAGAGCACTGTTATGATTTGGCCTTAGACTAAGAATATATAGTTTAAGAGTTTTGATGTTGGTATCATGAATATTGAATATTTGAACTGTATATTAATTGCATGATATCATGTGATTTGTTTGTCTTTTAGACATCTCACTCAGCTTCACCGCTGAGCGTGTAGTTTATTTTATTTACTAGACGTAGGTAAACAGAATAAAGAATGATGTGATGTTGATCTTGGTGTCAGTTGGGGACGAGATGTCAGATGGATGTGTGATGATTTCTATTATCCAATAAATATTTCAAAATGAATTATTTATATTTTGATGATTGTGATGTGAAACACTTTATTTAAGCTTCCGTGAATTTAGGAACTCCGATGTTAAAATAATATTTTATTTTGATGAAAGAAATTTTTAAATATTTTGTTATTTTGATGTTACGAAGTTTGGTTTCGGAGCAAATGGTTTTAAAATCGACCTTCGAATCAAAAAATGATTTAAAAAAATCACATGCATGACTCACGCAACCCTCTGCCTCAGGAAAGATAATAAGGACTTAATTACATTATTATTTATTAAGTTTTGACTATATTAAATTCTCATTAGATGATAACGGTTAGTACTGAAATCAAATAGAGTACTGATTCGGGTCGGACTTTCGTACTTGGCAAGTGACGGAAGAATAAGAGAAAAGTATATGACTTCTTGATTTGTTACCAACGTGCTCATCGCATTGCGAGAATGACCAAACTGAAGATCAATAAACGCCATAAAGCTGCAAGGCTAAATTACAAAGCCATATACCTCACTTGTCATTTAAAATTGAAGAATTAATTTTTTTTAGATTGAAATGTAAGAATTGATATGAGAAGCTAAGTAGTTTTGAACCCCGCCTTAAGGAATTTTGGTGGGAAATGAGAATGAAACCCAACTTTGGTGGCAAATGGTGAATTAAGGGTAGATAAAAAGTTTCATGATAATAATGAAAGAAAGGCAATTTAGTATATTTACAATACTTGCTCTTTATTTTATTCTCACCATCGCATAAAATTATTCATGTTTGAAAAAAAGCACACCTTTAAAATAAGTAATTATAGTGCTATTTTCTAATTTTGTCTTTATTTTATAATAGAGTATGATATGATTTATAGAAATAGATGAGTCATAATTAGAAATAAGTACTAAAATTACTGATTTTACTGGGATGTGTTTTTTAAATATGAAAAGTTTTATGAGATGTAGGAAGTAATTGCTTAATAAAGTAGTACTCTTAATAGAATTTAAAACATAAAGTGTTATATATGGATACATATAGGGGTGTAAACGGATATTAATCGGATTGGATGTGCCATTACCAAATCCGTATCCGTTTATTTTTGTCGGATATCAAATTCGGATACGGATCTTGACGGATACTTAAAATCAAAACCGTATTCGTATCCGTCGGATATCGGTCGGATATCGGATACATCCGTATCCGAAACTGATTTTTAAAATCAAATTAGACAATACTTTAATTTTAAATTATATTAAAGTCAAACTATTATTAAATCAACTATAATTTGTTATGGGATAATTATTTTCTTTGTTTTCATGATTTATGATATTCTACGATAACTTCATATGATAAAAAGATATACACGACACACATATACACATATTTTTATATGTCTGCACATATTTTTATGTGTCTACACATTTATTTTGTATATAAAAATTTCTGATACTCTGAAATATCAATAGCGAAATAAAATATAAACATAAAAAATAGGAAAACTATATATAACGGATCAGATATTTGGATAAACGGTTATTTAAACGGATGCATATTCGGATCGGATTTTAAACGGATCGGATATACAATTACCAAATCCGTATCCGTTTAGTAATCGGATATCCTTAATCGGATACGTATAATATCCATTTAAAACGGATGCGGATATTTCCTCTTTAAACGAATACGGATACGGAAGGTAATAGGATTTTCGGCTATCCGTTTACAGCCCTAGATACATAGGAGTATTTATTTGAGCAATAAGGTTCTTGTAGGGACATCAAAGGCACCTCATGTCACACGGAGTAATATGATACGGAGTACGTATTAAGTTTTTTACAACCCCACAAATATATATAGTATTTGGGACGTTATTTAACATTCATATATTATAGCACGTGGGAATCCATGTCTGGCCATCCGTCACACATTTCTTTGTCTTGGCTTCATAGAAATAACACAACAATATAAGAGTACATTATTGTTGTTTCAGCAGCAGTGGGTTTCTTTCAAAGAAGTTAGCTGGCCTTAGTTCGAACCCAACCGAGACAATTGGCATCACCGGAAAATCTTCCTGCACCGGGACGTGATGGAATCCCAGAGTGTACCACAGCACTATATCTCTGTTCTCAATCTGTCTATTCCTGCAATAAATTAATCACTCCGTAAGAAATACTAGGTTTTTAGACCAAAGAGGTATCCAAGTGATGGGCCGATACCCAACGGGCGGCCCAAATACCGCGCCCGAATGGCGCTGGGTCACTAGAGCTTATATGCATCGATTTGGGCCGGCTCAAGAAGTTGGTCCTGGACTAACCCAATGGAGAGACAGCTGGAAGAGCCCGATTCTGGGGAGGAGATTCAGCTGTAGACGGAGATATAGCCGAAGAAAGGGAATCGCGCCATTGGCGGATGAGTCTCCTTGAATTGTGAACTTCCATAATTACCCGAATGGAGATCCTCAAGCTAAATCAAGCAAATAAAGCCTATAATTCTCGAGTTCTTATTCATTACTATTTCTTTTGATCCGCCGTTCTAAGTCGGATCATTTGGTGGATTGATTGTCCATCACCAAGTATAGGCATAACTAAGCACTATATACGTACGTACCTTTGGCTCCAAATGGCTAATCCATCGTCTCCATGGCTCTGGGTAGTATAAAACCCCGCGGCCCACTTCTCCGACTTGTTATAACGAGTCACCCACACCTGGTACTTGGTATAGGCCGCTCGCATCTGCGGATAATCGTCCTCGGAAAGCAAAGAATATGCGGATGGCCCGGCGACCAGCTTGTAACCAACATGGTTCCCTAACAATGTTTTCTTGTTTGGGTTCACAATCAGCATTTCACCAGGCTCGGACCCGAGCCGAACCTTTGCATCGGATTCATTTTTGACAGTCTCTCTGATCACTCTCCAGTAGCTCTTACGAGGCGAGCCGTGTAGGTTCTTTACTCTCTGAGTCTTCAGCTTGGACTTCACAAATGAATTGGAGGCCCCATCAACGTCTAAATCGAGATAGTATGTGACAAAGTGGTCGTGGTTGCTTGCAACTGCGTTTTCGGCAACAAAAGTCCCATAAACATCCTCTTGCATCACATGGCTTGTAGGGTATGGTACAACCTTCATCTGAAGGACACCAGACAGGCTAACCTGTAACATACATATATAGCAAGAAATATCATTCACAACTACTAATGATCAACATTACTTCTCTAAATAGATATAATTTTTAAAGAGTAAGTCTAAAATGACACCAGTGTTATCAATGTCATTTTTCTTACACCATTTCGTTTTGGGCTCTTACGGTGCTCTAGGATGGGGGGTTTTAGGAGGAGGGTAGGGGGCTAGGAGCCGTCATTTTTACAAACAGAGCACCGTAGTTGCTCCAAACGAACTCGTGTAAGCAACTCGAGTCATGTCATTTTAGACGCTCCTATTTTTAAATATGTAATTTTATTTTTAAATTCCACGCCATATCAATTTTCATATTAAATGATTTGAAAAATAAATTTCGTCAAATATCGTAATACACAACAAGAAGGAAATTGGTGAATAAAGAGAAATAATAACTTTAGTCAAATACCATTATTTTTTATTACTACTATTATTCTGATTATTATGAATATTATTTCATTATTACTACCATTTTTTCTAGTTCTATCTAGTGTTTTCATTTCCTTCTACTTTTTCCCAATTTGAAACAAAAACGACTTAACATATGAAAAAGAATAAAAAGTAATAATTAAAATAAATAAATATAAATTATTTTAATAAAAATATAAAATTAAAAAAATACTCTATCCGTCCTAAAATTAATTTTCAATTTGACTTTTCACGGTCTCCAATGTAAAACTTTGACCATTAATATCTCTATTTTTATATGAATATATATAATAAAAATAATATATTTCAACACTACGTTCCAAAATGAAACTATTGATAACAAATTTATATAAAAATTCAATGTATTTTTTTTTGTAATATGCGATCAAAGTTTAAAAAGTTTGACAGCAAAAATCAAACTACGAAGTTAACTTTAGAACAGAGGGAGTAATGTGTTTAAATTTTTTAAAATCAATTTTCAACATTTTATATTTTTTCCTATATGTTCATCCAATTCTTTTGATTTCTTCTAACTTTTTTTCAATTGTTTTCGAACTTTTTCTAGTTGTTTCTAACTTGTTCCAGTTTCGTAAAATTCCTTACAGATTTTTCTAATTTCTCTAACTTCTTCCAATTCCTTATAGTTTATATCAATATGCAACTCTTAAATTTGAAGGGAGAACTTCCTGGATAGAAACAAAAAATACTATGAAAAATACTAAAATAGGAGTCTTAAGTATTTTAAGACTAAAATAGGATTTCACACTACCATTATTACACTGTCACAATCACTACAATGTCACACTGGAACTGGTACACCGTCATCCATCGCCGCCGGCGACCACTCCTCTATCGTCGATCGCAACGTTGACCGGTGGTCGATCTATCGGTGGTTGACAGATCACACGATCAAATTATAGTGTCATCTTTTTTCCATCACAGTTCTAACACTATTAAATCATACCGTCATTATACTTTTGTTTGGGTCTTAAAATACTTAGGATTCATATTCTGGTACTTTCATAATTGTTTACTTTTATCTAGGGAGATTTCCTTCATTTGAAACAAAAAACATGTCCTAGAAGGGTTAATACTATTTATAAGAGTAATAATAGTAACAATAATAGAGGGCGTCTGAATTCACACATTATACCAGTTTAATTAGAACACCTGCGATGCTTTGATCATAAAATTAATTATTTCAACCACTAACTCACTCTCTCCCCCCCCCACCTTAACCCCACCAATACCTTGGTATTTAGAAAGGGGTGTAGGTGTATCAGTGGGGGTTTAGCTAGGAGGGTAGGTTCTGATGGGTGTATTCTCACCCAGGACCTGAACCAGGCCCTACACTACAGTGATGCACTGGGTGGATCAAAGAAAAGCTATTGAGAGGAAACAAGAGTAATGGATCGAAAAAGCTTGGTAGGCCCCGATCAGAAGAGGACGGAGGGGGAAGACGACCCCCCTCGGGAGATTTGATGTGAATCCCACCCGGGTTGTAAGGCACCAAAAATAGGCTTATCAGAATTAATTAATTGATAATTAATTAATTACTGAGAAGGACCCAATGCAAAAATAAGTGATTTATAAAATTTGTCAATAAATAATGAAAAATTATATTGTTATGTAGAGTTTGACTCATTCACCACAACGGTTCAGTTGATATTCAATACGGAGAAAGTTAGATCAGAAAGTGCACCCACGATGGAACCAAAATTGGTCTGAATCAGGGACTTATGTTAAAAACCCGTAGAAGTCGCCGCTCCCTCCACTAATATGCCGAATGAACAGGAACAGTAGCAAACGTAATCTTCCATATCTTCTTCCCATTTCCTTCCACTATAAAACCCCCCAAACCTTCACCATTTTACACCATTCTTCTTCCAAAAGAAAGCTGTGAGAGTAGAGATTTAAGTAGTGTTGTCGAGAGAGCTTTTCGTTGCCGGAGCTAGCCATAATTCTTGCCAGACCAGAAAATTACCAAAACCTTCATTAAGCTTTGAGCTAATCCCGTAGATATATCAAGTGACTAGAATCTTCGTATAGATCGTTTATACGTTCATGAACGGTCGTTTGGTTGAGTTTTGTATTTGACATGTTTGAACAACCAAGGATCTTAAACCATGAAATTGTTGTTAAAACTATGAATTAATGATATCAAAATGATCTACAAACCTTGGAGAATATTTCTATATAGTTTAATTGATATTTGGTAACTAAAAATGGTATTTTAAAAGTTGGACTCGAGGAAGAAGACAATGAAACAATAACCTCTGGAAACTGTCAGGATGATCTATCCATGGGCCTGGATCGGTCCCCTGGGAGTATTTCTTCTAGTGTGGATCAATTGTAAGTGCTGGATCGATCCCTCGAATCTGTGATCCAAAAATATTTCCGGAAGTGCTATTTTTGAGCCCTAAAATCCTATTTTTGATACCAATCTTTTATGATCAATATAAGGATGATTTCTTAAAAAAAATGATAGTTTGGACCAATAAAATCTTGTTTTGATGCATGACAGTAAGCTAGGGTGTTAACACTCGACGCTAGGCCGCTGCCTGTTATTGTATATTATGGCGATTATTATTGATTAATGATTATGATGAATATTATTGATTGATGATTATGATGATTAAACTTTAAAGACTATTCTGATTAAAGTAATGATTATGAATAATTAAATCATGATAAATGGATATAATAGAAATCATGAAAATGATGTATATTGTTAAGGATATCTAGAAGAATTCTAAGATATACCTATTTAGAAATTTATGATGATTATTAAGGATATCTAGAAGAACTCTAAGACCCCATTTGGTACACGGAATTCAAGTTATGGAATTGGAATTGGGGACTTCAATTCCAATTTTGGTGTTTGGTAGCACAAAAATTATGTGGATTTGGAATTGAGAGTTCAAAAAATGAACTCGAATTGGTGAATTCAATTCTATGGAAATGAATCTCATTAAATTTCAATTCAAATTCAACTCCAATTCCATCAATTCTGTATATCAAACAGACCCTAAGATATACCTATGAGACCAATTCAGTAATCTGAGGCTAAAACATACGTACGAGATCCAAACAGGATATCACCCACCCGACAGTTCACTGTTTGGCTGGTACGTGATAAACAAGACTCATAGGGTAGATCATCGATTCTTGTGTTCTGCCTTAAACTATTTATAGTTTAAGAGCCCGGTTAGAAATATTGTCTTAGACTAGGAATAACTAAGAGCTTGTTACAAAAATGAATTGGCCTTAGATTAAGAATGCTTTAAGAGAACGGTTGAAATACCATTATGGAATATTGTATATGTCATGAAATATCTTGAATTAAAATATTGTGAATACCATGAGTGATGAATGTTTGAATTGAATATCATGTGCATGATATCAAATGATAAATTATGAATTTAGATTCAGTTTATATGGATGTTCGACGCATTAGATATGCTTACTCAGCTTTACTGTTGAGCGTGCAGTGTGTAACACCACGGCCCCCACCCTAGCCGTAAGTGTCCGCTCATAGGATTGTAGACTGTTCCCACAAACCAACACAAGTCTCTCCCGCACACTTTGTCCTCACTCGTGCACGCCCTAGGAAAAAGTTCCCAGGGGGTCACCCATCCTAAAATTGCTCCAGGTCAAGCACACTTAACTTTGGAGTTTCTAGGTGATGAACTCTCGAAAAGAAGATGCACCTTGTTGGTATGAGGTTGAGTAGTACTATCAATCCTTTGAGCTCTTCCCATTCCCATCTTGATACGGGGTATTACATTCACCCCCACTTAGGAATACAACGTCCTCGTTGCATCCTTTTTTTTGAGCCCATAGATCTTCCCCGCTAGGTGAACTAAGCTATTTTGGCCCGTCACGGTTGCAGGGTTGCTCCGATACCATTTGTAACACCCCGGCCCCCACCCTAGCCGTAAGTGTCCACTCATAGGATTGTAGACTGGCCCACAAACCAACACAAGTCTTTCCCGCACACTTTGTCCTCACTCGTGCACGCCCAAGGAAAGTTCCCAGGGGGTCACCCATCCTAAAATTGCTCCAGGTCAAGCACACTTAACTTTGGAGTTTCTAGGTGATGAGCTCTCGAAAAGAAGATTCACCTTGTTGGTATGAGTAGTATTATCAATTCTTTTGAGCTCTTCCCATTCCCATTTTGATACGGGGTATTACACAGTGTGTTTTATTTGTTAGACCTAGGTAAACAAAAAGAATGAATTGATGTATCCCTGGTGGCAGATGGGACGAGATAGTCGGAACGGATGTGTAAACTTGAATTACTATTCTAAAAGACATAAATTTATTATGTTTGCAATTGTGATTTATTAAGCTTCCGCAACTTTAGAATACTGCGTTATTATCCTGAATGATTTAATATGAAATAAAGTTTTTATATGTTTGAAATATTTTGAATATTTACGAATACCAAGTTTATACTTTACTCTGAAAGGCACTGCAGACCTGTGTTACACGGATCCCCTGGTGTGAGGCCACATTGTTGGGCCATTTGAGGTCATAATAAATAA